AGGAGCTGCAGATTTCAGGGGAATGACAGGGAGAAGAATTCTGACACCTTGAGGTAGGACACTCTGCTGCAAGAGGAGTGTGTTTGGAAGGGGGGTGGCTGCCCAGCCTTGACTGGCGAGGAAGACATCTGTCCGGAAGCTCGTGGTCACCGATCCCTGCTTTGGGCAGAAGCGCCTCAATGGCAGCTTGCAGGGTCTACTTCAGTGATGGCGAACCTTTTAGAGACCAAGTGCCCAAACTGCAACCAAAGCCCACTTATTTATCGCAGAGTGCCAACACTGCAGATTCAACTATGCCAGGGGGACAGCAGAACATTAAAAGAATCTCCTTCTCTTAATTAGAACATCTCTTTGCTAAATTTTAGATATGGAAAATTGAAATTTAATAAGAAAACTCAAAGCTAAAATCTTGTGTTAATAAAAACGAAAGTATTAAAACTCACAGCCAGTACACACCCACCCACCCCACACCCATCCTTGGGAGGGCACTGACTGGCCACACGAAAGCTCAAACAAGTTAAGGCTAATGTGTCATGGCTCATGATGTCATTGCCTGGCGCCGCGACTCCTTTCCAAGCATGCGCATGGTTCCGATGTGCTCTGTTATCCGGTGCCCGGCTGCTGGGGTGATGCTGGGGCGACTTGACTCGTGTGCCAATGGAGAGGGCTCCGCTGCAGCACGCATGCCATAGATTCGCCACCGCTGGTCTGCTTGGTCTCTCTCTAGAAACTCTGCAGCCCAGTGACTGGAGCCAGGTGCGAAATGCAGGGTAACGGGACAGTGGGCAAGGGAAAACCTGCATTTAGAACGAGGACACGAGTCCCCGTGGTGCACAGGCTCAACCCAGTGGTGGCTTTGCCATTCCCAAGCCCCGCTCACAGCCTGGTGGCACGAAACGCCACGAAGCACATTCTCCTCTCGCATGTTCTTCCATCTGCTAATGGGGCAGCCGGGAGCTTCTGTTGCTTTCGAACAACCAGAAGCCGGAGTTGGTTTGCTTCATATTCCATCATTTTTCTTACCAAGAACTCAGAGCAGCTTACATCACTCTCCTGCTCCCCGTCTTATCCCCACAACAGCCCTGTGAGGTAGATTGGGATGAGGTTCTGCAACTAGCCCAACGCCACCCCGTTGGCTCCAGGGCTGAGAAGGAACTCAAACCCAGATTGCTGAACTCCCAGTCCTGCGTTTTGACCTCTACACCACACTGCCTCTCGAATAAACTTAACCAATTGACTGTGCTCCACTGAACAGTCTCTGGTTGATTTACAATCTACCTTCCACAGAAAGTCTGTGCTTTGGATAGTTAATGTGCGGATGTGCTGAGTTAACATTTGGTGCAACCCTTAATCCCTACGGCCTAGCCCAGCCCGTTATCCTGCAACTGTTTTATGCTGCAGTGTCCAGGTTTTCTCACCATTGGTCTTGCTGGCTGAGAAGAATGAGAACTGAAGTCCAGAACATCTGGAGGTCACCAGGTTTAGGGAAGGGTGCCCAGGTGCAACTAACCCTAACAGAAACCAATCCATATTCCCCACCCGGGTTTCCCCTCCCTCCCTTCCATCTCTGTCCTTGTTCTGTTCTAATTTGATGATATAAGCTCCTCGGGGTTGTTCTGTGCTCTCAAATGTTGTGAAGTTGTTATGTGCATAGAAAGTGTTATCCTTTGTGCCATGTGCTGAAGATAAAGAAAAGGCACGGAGTTAGATTGCTTTTCAGCCTCCCTATTTTTGGATCCTTCTAGGGGCACACACCTATGAAGGACCAAAAATGATTTTTTAAACATATACACAAGTATTGGTATGCTTCAGGTGTTACAAACATATGTGGACACTTCAGAGGGGTTAACAGTGGCTATCAGGCCCCGGATCTTGACCTCTGGCAGTGGAGGAAAGCTGCAGCAAAGAAGTGGCTCCCGGTTGCAGCAGGGAAGGCTGGAGGAAGTCTTGATGCACCACTGGGACATCACTGGGACCACTGAGGGCTGAGCGGGGTGCGCCTAGCCATCTCTCGGATGCCATGCGGGTGGTTCACACAACTGATCAGCCAAAGGCTGGGCTGCCGTGTCATATGAACTTCCCAGGTTGTTGGAGTTAACCTTCAGAGCTCTTAGTAACTTGGGGCTGTTCCTCTCATGACGAACCTGTTCTGTTGCCGAGATCAGCAAGAGAGGCTCCTGCTGAAGACGTCACCACTTGGAAGCACCTGCTTGTCACCTACATGGGAAAGGCTTTCTCCTGGGCTGCCCCCAAATTCTGGAGTTTGTCTCCTTCAGAAGTACCCCTGGTCCCCACACCCTTTGCAGAAAGGGGTCAAGTCACAGCTCCTTAATTTTGGTTCTTAGAGTGATGATCTTACATAATTTTATCACTTTATTTGATCACAGTTCTTCTGAATTTTCTATCAGTGTAGATGTTTCAGAAAGGCCATACAAAAATGCCATCCTTGTGGGAAGGTTTCACGGCTGCCCATTGCTGCAAACACAATGCTAGACTTCTGGCCTGGGCCAGAAAGCAGTTCTTTTAAAAAAAAATCCACAGAAGTGATGACAACAGACCAAAGGCTTCCTTTCAGCTCTTCAGCCAAGCCTCTGGCGGTCCTCAAGCACGGCTGTGTGCCAGGTTCTTCAAGCGCGCCCCACTCTTGCCCTGGTAACGCAAGGTGCCTTCCGACAGAGCGCTGGAGCCCGCAATGACTGTCTCCCCTTCTTAGCCACCTCCTCTCTGGAGAAGCTGGAAAAGGCTTCTTCCAGAGGTGTTGGTCTACACCTGCCAGCATCCTCCATCCAGCAGGGAGGAAACCAGGTTGCAAAAGGCTTCAGTAAAGCATGTGTAAGAAGTCCCAAAAGCAGAAGCTGGACTCCTGCTGCCACGGCAAGTGCCCTTGTTTTGGGATCACTGCCCGCCCACAACCAAAAAAAGAGGACAGAGGGGTTTCCATCTCCTGATCTATGCCGAGATGCGAATTTAGATGTGAGATAACTTAGAAGTGCAGCATTCCTTGCTGTAATAAGGCTGCGACCTCCATAGCCGAGTGCCCGTGTGCATGAGGGGGGCAACCTTAAAGACTAGCTTTCTATAAGCTTTTGTGCACTAAGGTCCCAGCTTTGACGATGCATGGAGATCCGCGGTGGGCTGGTACAAGCTTGCAAAATGGAAGAGGGGACAAAAAGGGTCAGTGGCCACGAATGCACCAAGTCTGAGGATTTTGCTAGAGTTTAAATGCCTGCAAAAATTGCCCTTAGCAGCAGCCGCAGCATCAACTTTTATTGAACATGGAACGCAATGGAATGGATTTTCTGAGTAAGCATGAACGCAAGCAAGCCCAGGGTGGTGTAGCAGTTGCGGCACTGGAATGGGATGGTGGGGGGCTCTGCAGTCTAGCCCCCACTGGCCATCAAGCCCACGGGGAGACTTTGGGCTGCTCAGACTCTCAGTCCCATCTGCAGAGTCTAATGACTCCCCTCCACTAGACAGGGACCATGGAAGGTGCCTTGGATCCGTTGCAACGGGGGGGGGGGGGGGGGTTAAAGTAAATAAGTGCACGAGAGCACCTGTGCCCTTGCTGCGTCAACTAACACCTGTAGCAGGACAAGAGATCACTTTCTCCGTTCTGACTCCAATACAATAGAAGCAAAGCCGGTCCAGCCACCCAGAAGGGGGGGGAGCCTAGAATCTCTGGGAGCCCCCCCCCGTTGCCATGGGCAATTGCGGAAACACTCGCGGGGGGGGTTGCTGAACCCCGGCGCCAGCGCGGTCCTGCCCACACACCCCTTTTTTGCAAACTGGGGTGTCCTTAGGAGCCAAGGCACGGACTGGAAGAGCAGGAGTAGACTAGCGCATGCAAACAGGCGGAGGAGTGTCCTGTGGCTTTTTGGGGGGGCGCCCGGCACCACCCGCGCGGCCCTCGTCCCGCGCCGTGGCCTGCCTCGCAGGAGCGTTGTGCGCACAGACCGGGGCCGAGGCGGTCGGTGCTCGGAGCGCGTCGCGCGCAAGCGGCTCTGCGCGCCGGGCGTCGCAGCCCCGCCCGCAGGGGGCGCCCCCGAGCCGCACTCTATGGTCCCGGCGGTGGGCGCTCTCTCCCGCGCGGCGGCCGGCTCGGTGGCGCCTCACGTGACCCGGGCGCGGGGCGCGAGGGCGGAAGCCGGAAGCGCCCCGCACTTCCGGGTCTGGTGGGCTGGCTTGCTGCCTGCTGGAGGCGCGGCGCCCACCATGTGAGGGAGGCGCCGCGGCTCCCCTCGTCGAGGCTCGTCCCGGGCAGGTGAGGGGCCTCGGGCCCTGTGGGGTGAGTGGCGTGCCGGGGGGGCGAACGGTGCGTTGAGGGGCGGCGTTGGGGGCCCGCCAGACGCGCGGCTCGGGCCCGCAGGGCAAAAGGGCGCGCGCGCGCACGTTTGCGAGTGCCCGTGTCGTCGAGACGGTGCGCGCGCGCGCGCAGATGGGCATAGGCTCGTGTACCTGCGCGCTGCCTGCCGCCGTGTGCATGTGCTCATTTTACATAAGCTTAAAAGCGTGCGTTTGGCTGGGGGGGCACATTCGCAAGTGCTGTTTATGGGTCCCCAAGTGTGTCTCTACGCGTGTCTCTTAAGGATGGTCCTATTTGGAACAAGGAGTGTATGGCCAGAGTATTTGATTCCAGAAGAGAAACGCTTAGGTAGAAGAATTCAGGCAGGGGCAGCACATGTGGCCCCAAAGCCAGCTAATCTAGAGGGCTTGGGAACAAACTGATCATCGGAGTTCCTATACCTTTATTCAACACGTGTCCTTGGACAGCACTGTGGGGAGGAGGGGGAAAAGGCCTCCCAGAGAGGTGAGGCTCCCGCCCTAGTGGGCAGTTGCCCAACAGACAGAGAATATAAAGCAGGAACAGAGCCTTTCACCATTAAGTGCTGTTTCTGAATTGTTAGGGTAGGAGGTTGGTCATGGTGAAAGACCTGTAGTCTTGCAGGTCTTCTGTATTTGGAAGAGTCTGCGGCTGGATGTGCCCTCTGGCTTCCAATAAGACTGAGTCTTCCCCATCTTGAATTTGCATGAGGGGGCTGTGTAAGCTGGTCAGTATGGTTAAGAAGGGAATGAGGAAGCTTTTAGCCATGAGAGTTAAATGGGGTCTCTCTCTCAGGGTGGTCAGTATCCAAGCACTATAGCTCAGGGGCAGAGCATTTGTTCTGCATGTAAAACTCCAGGGTGCAATCCTTAGCGTTTTCAGTTGAAAGGGATGTGGGGGGAATGACACTGTTCTGACCAAGACCTCGCTTCTGGTAAAACAGCAGACAAGATAAAAAGCTGGGTGAACAAATAACAAAGCCAAGTGAGACTGACATCTTCTTATAGTTATGGGAGGAACAAAAGGAAAAGAGGCAGAATCTTTTGGCCCTGAGGGTTCAAGAATGCTTCCCTGTTTCAAGACTGTCTTTGAGTATCAGATGTGAAAGAGCATGTAGTATGGGATGAACTTCTCCATTGTGTCCTGAATTTCCAGAGGTGGGTGCAGGGAGAGATTTTTCTGGATTACAAGTGAGAGAACTATTAGCCCTGGTGGAGAATCTATGCTCAGAGACTGTCCACTAGAGCAAAGCAACAAGGGAGGGCTATATCCTTTGCATCTGCCTGATGGATGTCTGGTAAGCCCAGCATTGAGAAGAGACCAGCTATTGCTCCTGGTAATTAAATGGAGCCTCCATATTCAGAAGCAGTTTGCCTCAAGCCCAAGCAGTAGGCTGCTCAAGAGGGATGGAGAGGAACAATACAGGATAACTTTCTCTGTCATGACCTATATTTGAAATTTCTAGGGGGAAATCTCTCTGGCAGAGAGAGAATTATCATTCACACTTCTATACTGCCCATAGCCAAAGCTCTCTGGGTGGTTTATTACAATAATAATAGATTCATACACTCAAGTCTCTGATCCAAATTCTAACCAGACCTGGCCTGCTTAGCTTTCAAGATGAGGCAGGATCAGGCACTGGCTGGTTCTGGTGGCTAAATGGAGCCTCCATAGTTGTCTGACTGCCAAAGGGTTGGCATGAGGGGGAGGCCATTCCCATCATGTTCTGCCTCTGTTTGTTTGACTTGCGAGTCGGCCACCACCAGTCCCCTCGGCTTCACCCTGTGGCGTGCACAGGCGGCTTGGGAAAAAGGCAGGCCCTCTTCTTACTTGCTCAGAGGGAATGGAGAAGAAACAGCAGAGGTTTCCTGTCAGTTGGAAGGGACTGCTGGGCTTCCTTATGTTCTCAAAAGCTTCCCTAAAATGAGGCCTTCAGGGTAAGTACCTGTGTAGCTTCTGTGCATCCATAGAGCCCTGAGTATTTTTCCTTGCATTACAAGAAATATGCATAGAGCTCACTGGGTGACTCGGGGCCAGTCTTTGCCTCTCAGCCTCACCTGCTCACAGGGTTGTTGTGAGGATAAGATGGAGAGGAGTAGGGAGACTGTATAAACTACCCAGGGTTCCTTGTAAGCGGGGAGGGGAAGCCGATATAAAGTCAGTCATAATTAAATGCACGCTCCTCTGTTAGGGATTAAAGATTCACTGCAGACTCTTCACATCTCCCACTTACTCTTGTGCCACAAAGAGCGAATGTGAGGTCCTTCTGTTGTAAAACAGTGGCTCATATTTAAACTTTTAAAATTGGTGTTGTTATGTTTATTTCCCCCTTAGCCCAACGAGATCCAGGCAGCAGACAAAGCTGCTGCGTCCTGCTCCCCACTCTTCATTTTATCCTTACAACAACTGTGAGAAATCATTTCCGCTGAGAGCATATGATTAGCCCAGTGTCTCCCGAAGAGCCCCTGACTGTTTTGGCCTGGCATAATGCTGTACCACTGGGCAGCGCTGCTGGTCAGTTTGTGGTCCTGTTTGGAGATTCCGGCAGTTGTCCCTTAGAAAAAGCCTTGGGATGTTGCTACATTTGTCCCTGACTTCTGTTGTGGCGGCCACGACACCGCGCTGGAACACAGCCCCTCCCCAGCCTGGTCTTGCCAGGCACTCTTGGCGACAACTCTGGAGCTGAATCTGTCCAGTCACTGATAAATGTTTGAGGCCCTTCCCCCAGTACTGCCTTTTGGAGAGGTTCGAGGGGAGGCATAGCAACATAGGGAAGGCCCTTCACCGTGCTGGGCCCCGATTGTGGGATCATCCCATTGAGACCAGCGTGGCCCCAGCCTTCTCTGTGTCAGATGGACTGTCCGTTTCTCTAACGCCTTTAGTGCTTAAATGTTGCAACGTGGAGTTTTTTTTACTGGGGGGAAATTGTGGTATAGGAAACTTGTTTTCACTGTCGACATTTTGTGTTGCTTCTTTCCATTGTATTATTTTTATGGTGTCCATGAATTGTTGTGAACAACCCAGAGGCCTTAGGCTATTGGGCAGTGCAGAAATGAAATATAGCTCCCAGCAGACCTGACCATTGGCCATGCTGGCTACAGGCAGTTGAAGCCCAAGAACATCTAGGGGACACCAAGCTGGAGAAGAGCTGCCATATCAAGATGGTTAAGATAAGCTGCCGTCTATACAGAGACATAAATTACATAAGCCTCTTGTTCCGATAAGTGCAAATTATTGAAAGACATTAGCGTTTTCCTAGTTAAGCAGCAGCCGCGGGACAGAAGATGCCGAGCTGTCTCAGCTTTGCTCTGTCCCAGCTTCAGTAAGGGGAGCCACACCTTCCACTGGTCGTCCCCCTTTTTCAATCAAGCGCACCAAAAATACGCATCATCACCGAAGAGGGCAGTGCTATAACGACAGGCACCAAAAGAGTCTCGGCTCGACATGGCTAGTTGTCTTTGGGGTAGCAGTGGGGGGACTGAAAGCTGGTAGAGCAAGTGGTTCCTTGCGGGTTGTCGGTGTGTGCCACAAGGAGCTAACGTCGATACGCCCTGGCAAGTAAGGAGGTCTGTGAGCTGCCATAGTTTATTATTTATTTTTATTTATTAAAACATTTTTATGCCGCCCCATTCGCCGAAGCCTCGGGGCGGCTTACAACAAGTTCTAAGGATATGCTTATTTGCAAAGCTGGGCCGTCTTTCATAATCCTGAAACCAGTCTTCTCTTCTCTGGCAGTTCACTGATGAAATGGAGCCAGGGACGAATTCTTTCAGAGTGGAGTTCCCAGACTTCTCTAACACCATCCTGCAGAAGTTGAACCAGCAGCGCCAGCAAGGGCAGCTGTGCGATGTGTCCATCGTTGTCCAGGGCCATCTCTTCCGAGCCCACAAAGCCGTGCTGGCCGCCAGCTCCCCTTACTTCTGCGACCAGGTGCTCTTGAAGAGCAGTCGGCGCATCGTTCTGCCTGACGTCATGAACCCCAGAGTGTTCGAGAACATCCTGCTGTCGACATACACGGGGAGGCTGGTGATGCCCGCCTCGGAGATTGTCAGCTACCTCACGGCGGCTAGCTTCCTTCAGATGTGGCACGTCGTGGACAAATGCACGGAGGTGTTGGAAGGGAACCCCTCCGTTCTTTGTCAAAAGCTGAACCGGACTAGTGACCATCAGTCTCCGAGCAGCAGCAACTACAACGGCCTGGTGGAGAGCTTTGAGCTCGGCTCTGCAGGGCAGGTGGACTTCCACAAAGTGCAGGAGCTGAGGGATGGTGAGAATGAAGAGGAAAGCTCGAAGGATGAGCTCTTGTCTCAACTCACGGAGCACGAATATCTCCCCAGCAACTCCTCCACGGAACATGACCAGCTGAGCACCGGCATGACCAGTCAGGATGGTGAGGAGGGAGCCAGCGACAGCGCCGAGTATCAGTACGCCAGACCTCTTTACAGCAAGCCTAGCATTATGTCTCACAAGCGGTGGATCCACGTGAAAACGGAGAGGTTTGTGCAGGACTGCGAAGGGGTGGAGGCGCACGGCTCTTACGATGAGCACCAGGTGTCCGAGTCAGTGAATGCCACCCAGGCAGCCCATTCGGTCCAGACGTCTGTCCCAGAAGATCTTCGTGTCTCTGAGAAAAAGATGGAAACAGAGTTCAGCGAGCAAACCAACGAGAGCAACTACGACGAGCAAGTGGACTTCTATGGTTCTTCCATGGAAGAATTCTCCGGGGAAAGGTCTGACGGCACGCTGAGCCTGCAGAGACAGGACGTTGCAGGTTACGGAGAAAACTTGGAGCTGCCTTCAGGGATCAAAGAGGAAAACACCCTTTCTGGATTCTCTGCCACCGACAAGCTCTACCCTTGTCAGTGTGGCAAAAGTTTTACCCACAAGAGCCAGAGGGACCGCCACATGGGCATGCACCTCGGCCTGCGCCCCTACGGCTGCGGCGTGTGCGGCAAGAAGTTCAAAATGAAGCACCACCTCGTGGGGCACATGAAAATCCACACGGGCATTAAGCCCTACGAGTGCAACATTTGCGGGAAGAGGTTCATGTGGCGGGACAGTTTTCATCGGCACGTGACTTCTTGTACCAAGTCGTACCAAGCTTGTAAGGTGGAGCAGAACACTACAGAGATGAACTGAAAGCGGGGGGGGGGGGGGGAGCCGGGGGGAGCCTGTAGCTGCTGGGCGGAGGATGCAGGATGTAGGCATCCCACCATGTGCGTCTGGTACTTCTCGTTTCAAGAATCCGGAGGACTGAAAATGGATCCTATGGCACGGGCAGGGAACCAGAGGATGAACGCAGCCGGGGTGTTGAACTCCAAGCTGGTACTGGGAATGCCTCTCCCAAAATTGCAAATGAGGAAGCAAATGAGTGCGGTGGTACATTACCTTGATCATAATTATTGCTATTTATTCTTGCGTGTGTCAGGAAGACTTGCGTGTTCTCTGCGGAGGGACACTGAGTGAGAGTTCCTTTCAGTTCATCTCGGTCGTGTTTTGCTTGGGTATTTAAGGTTAATCAAGGGGGCCTTTCAATGCAGCCTGAGTCCTTCAGGTGACTATTTTCTCTTAGTGTACTGCCGGCACTTGTGCTTTAAATTCATCACACAGAAACACAAGCAGTTCCTCGTTTAGAACCAAAGGGTGATTAGGCATCGAAGCACAAGTTGCTAGACAGTTTTCATGTGGTGACAGCTTTAGCAAGCGGCTGTTTCTTTCTTTTGTTTTGTTTTGTTTTGTTTTGTTTTGTTTTACATCAGTCCAATTTGGAGCTCCATTGGCTGGTTCTGTTAGTCTTGGTGGAATAGTTCTGCTTCATGCTTATTTTTAATTTTTTGTAAAGCACTTGGCAATTTTGGGGCAGGCACTTTAGAGACAGAATATAACTTCATTCTTTCCTCCAGTTCCATTGTGCCTATTTCAGTAGCCAGTCAACAGCTCATCGCTTTCCGCCGCTGCAATAGATTGAGTATTTTATTTTCTTCCCAGCAGTGAGAAGAAAGCCCTCCTCAAGCACTTGAAGCTCAAAGCAGGCATTGGTTCCATTTTAGTTTTTTCTTTGCTTTAGGAATTTGCACTTCAAGAACAGAATGCAATCTACTGATTTCCACTTCAGGGTTCACAGTGTACAATTTTGGCACTGACCTCCTTGCTTAACTCAGCTGGAAGCAGTGGGTGGCCGACGATGCAGGCGCCTACGGCAGCGAGTTGGTGACTAAAAATCAAAACGGCCTTTCCCAGCTACTCGCCGGTGTGGTGTGGATGACGCCACACCCGAAGCAGCTTCTGGATTCCTGGGTGCGACACTCAACCCGCTGCAGAGGTGGAACTTTTAAACACTGGATTCTTTTTGTAGCCAGAAGCTGTTGCCAAGTTTTGGAGACCCATCGTTCTCTCCCCCACCCCCTCCTTTCCTCACCCCAGCTACAGGGTGAATGCACATGATGGAGGCAACTCGGAATGGGCAGGACATCCATGCTGCTATTTAAGAGGTTGAAAATATATCTCCCGTATTTGCCATAGAGAAAGGTGGTGCAGACCGTAACAGCCGTGTATGCCACCTGGGAAGGATAACTTAACTTCCTTGAGAGAAATAATGAGGCAAAGTTATGGGAGAGTACCAGTGCCAAGGCAGGTCTGTCTTTTATTTTTCTAAGCTTCGGCCTGTAAACTGTGAGTAGAAATGGTGGACCTTGAATTTTAATTCTTTGTGCATCCACCAAGGAGAGTAAACATTTCTGCAGTCATTACCCTCTACCCTTAATAACCCAGTTTAAACATTGTCTGGCACACAGAGGGGCTTGATCGTTTGCAGCTTCCAGCTTGGTGCTTACAGGTTTTAAGTTTAAAAAGAATGAAATCTTTTCTAAACTGACTCAACTTCCCCATCCTTCTATCTTCCCCCCCTCACCTGTGGGCCATCTTTTATGCTGTTGGATTCTCTGGTTTAGCACCTTCTGTTGCTGGGCAACGGACGCATGCATAAAGATGCCCAGTGGAGAGGGCCTGTTGTTCTTCCCACTTAGAAGAGCTTGGCAGTGCCCCCAGGTGGAAGCAATTGCCACTGACTCGAACCCTGGCGAACAAGCTAATTCAGCAGGGATTGACTTGCTAACACTGTAACATGCTAAATGTACAAAAGCACTTTGTATTTAAAAGCAAAAAAAAAATGAAAAAAGGACGCTTTATAAGTGTTTTTTTAAACAACATTGCAAAAAGAGAGCAAATATATATATATCTATATATCTTACATCTGGTTTGTTTTCTTATTCATGTTGTCTGTCTGATTTTTCTTGATTTATTTTGGTTCAGAAATTTTATAATGATAAAAAGCTGTTTGTTTACACAAGCATGGGTACTGGGATTTGTGTATGGAGAACTAGGATCTGAAGAGTCGGCTTTTTAGTTTTGTGTTGTTAAAAAAGATCTGTTTTTTTCATCCATACTGCCTTAGAATGTTCATGAAACCATTTTTCTTTTGTAAACTTCTATAAAGCTCAGTTAAGGAAAAAGAGGCTGTGTATCTCTTACCAATCTCAACTTTCCTCTCACCCGGACCTTACCAACTCTTTCTCCATGCTACCAGTCTAGCCATAGCGAAAGGAGGAGACACCCAGAATGCCCCATTCTGACTTCCAACTCTTCTTCAGCCCTCCTTTTGTGCCTGCAGAAAAGTGCAGCTTTTCCTAAAAATGGAGAAAAGGGGGTTGGAGTGGAGAAGGTTCACCTTTTCAAAGTCTGCACCTGGGGGAACTGCAAGAGGCGCAGGTGCGAGACCTCCGGAATCCCCACCCCAAGCTACCATTCTCGCCACGGAAAGTCCGCCGGAGGACTTTCTGTACAACCGGCCGTTAAAATAAATGGGCACCTTGTGCAAGGATGGCTTCCCATTTTATTTCATTCAGTCGTGCAGGAAGACTCTTTGATTCGTAATGCTCTCTCCAGACGAGACAAAGACAGCAAATGAATATAAGAGAAGTTAGTGAATAACGAACTAGAGTTTCAAATGCAGTTAGGCTGGTTAGTGATTTCATGGAGGAGGAGGAGATGCCCAAGAATTTGCATTACTCTTTCAGTATTAAGCAGTAAATGAATTTCTGTCTGGGAAAAGGCACTGTCGCCTTTAACTTGGACAATCCTGGGTCTAATCAGGAAGGCAGCAAGCACACAAGCATAATTTCTCCTTCCCGTCTTCCCTAGCAGCAACCCCAAGGAGGGCGTGTGCATTGTTGACAGAATCGTGACCCAGCGATTGCCTTCTGTGAGAAATTCTGCCAGGAATTGCTTCTCGGAAAGGCCAAGCCCGTGCAAGGCTTGGAAACGAGTGGCCCTCCCATTGCAGTTGGACTACAATTCTCATTATCTATATATGATGGGAGCTGGAATCTGGGAACATCTGGACCATCGCAGGTTCCCTACCCACAACCTAAGGGCTTGAAAGTGCACACCCCTCTTCCACTCCTGGGCTGGAATCGTGTTGGGGTAAAGGAGCAATATGTATCCCCGCTCTGCTAAATTCCTTTTATCCACGAGGGAGAACGAACATATGCTGCCTTGCCAACAAATAATTTTTTTGCTAATAATGTGCTTGCCACATTTTACCAGTATGCTAGTCAAGACACAGACATGACTTTAAAAAATATTGTAAATAATACACTTGATTTTGAAATGAAATATAATGCCTTGGTAACAAGGACGTCCTTCTCTAAAACCTTTCCTTTTGAGAGAGGGAGAAGCCGCCTCTGGCGCACCTAGGCCATTCTTTTTCCAGCAAAGTTTACACATCTTTTTTCTCCACTGCTCTTGATAGTGCTAGTTATGTTCATACTGATTTGTGAAGATAAAACGGCTGGGTTTGGAAACTTTCTTTTTAATCTTAATCCTTAAAGGATTTGTAGAAGTATTAACCACAAACCCATAGTTTCTAACAGCTAATTTGTCAACACATCAAGTCCACTCTTGGCATCCTTTGTTTTTCACAATGACAGATCCTCTATGTTGAATGTTTTGGGGCAGATGCTAGTTCTAAACCTAAGAGTCTATTTTATTAAAATATTTGTCTTTATCTAGAATAGTGAAATGTTAAAGCATTCTGTAAACATTCACATCTTTATTTGAATATTTTAATTTAATATGTATAGATAGAATCATAAGGTCTGGAGCCCTGAGCGGGAAAAGCTGGAATACTAATTGTATAGTAACATTTGTGATGTGGTGACACTGTCATATTTCTATTTTGCTTGCACCCGAAGTCAGTTTCTGCTGCTGTTTTTTCCTTCTTCCACATTGGGTTCCATTCTATCCCTTGAATAAATGTAACTGTTTATGGAAGTGAAGTGAACCTTCCTTAATTCCACTACAAGTTTCCCCTTATAAGCACTGTCATTTCAATGATTGCCATTCATTTCCTGTTGATCTTTTGTGAGTTGTTCTACCTATATTGCAAAGGTTGGGTAATTTGATATCTCTCTAATACCGCTGTCCCGGTAATGTACAGCATGGGTTTATGTGATATCACTGTTTTCTTCTTATAGAAGAGTGAGTTGCTCTTTTGTATAACATGTTTTAATAAATGTTATCTGTCTTTTCCTGGATTTATTAATTTATCTGCCAAAGAAGGCATTGCATGTGGTAACTCCACCACCCCACCCAGAGTCCTGTGACATCTTAAAGTTTAACAGCTTTATTGTGATACAGTGGGCTCCAGTCTACAAAAGCTTCTATCTGCTACATAGTGGAAGTCCACAAAAGCTTATGCCCCAGTAAATGGTAGACTTTGGGAGAATGTTCTTGGGACCCCTCTTTGGGGCCATGGGATGCAGTGGATCTTTCCAAGGCTGGAGATCCAGCTCTGACCTTGGAATGGGAGCTCCATGGGGGCTTCCTTTCCTGAAATGGGTGCTCCAGGAATGGAGAGTGTGGTGGGTGGAAAGGGGCCATGGATCTCTGTTCCTGAGGCTCCATTCCGAGTATTGGCGGAGAGAGAAAGTCAGACAAGCTGGGAGACCCGTTTAACGAAGTGCCGATGACAGAGAGTTGAATTGCCTCCTTCCTGCGGGCAGCTGGGTCAGCAAGTGGTTTGGGGAAAAGCCACAAGTTACCGTGTGCGTTTTGCTGCAAGACATTTTTGTTCCGTTTTGCCTTTGGTTCGAAACAGCCCAACTTACCAGAGAAGTTTACTATCCAGACAGGTGGGCATTGCTGGCCGCTAGGGGTCTTTCCCTGCTTTTCACCCCCCATCTACTGGTAGGAGCAAAAAAGATAAGCTTGTCTGGGTTTTTTTTTTGTTAAATATATTGTTTAAATGACGATAAACTGTAATGAGCACAATGATAAAAGGGATGATCATAAAAACAAAAATGCCGTATAGAAAATTATTCCCCTGCCCTGCAGCCTGTCTGGTTGCTTGGGGCAAGAGATGCCCTCTCACCAGGTGTCTGGGCAGACTCCCTTGGGCAGGATGTTCTGCCACCCTGGGCTATCACAGGAAAGACGGAGCCTGAAGAGTTCCTCCTCCGCTTCCTTTGACGGGCACACCACAAAGGGGTGAAGACCACCGGCACTTTGACTGTGGTCTGGAGATAAGCTGGCGGCCAGTGCAGGTGAGCCTGGACTGGACTGGGACTGCTTTGTTCCAGTCAACAGCCTTCGTGCAGAGTTCTGCACCTGCAGCAATCTCTCAAAGGCAGCCCAGTGCACCACACGCTGCGCTAATCTAAGTCGGAGGTTACCAGAGCATAGTCCAGTGAAGTCGGGCTCTTCTTATCCAGATACGGTTTCAGCTCGGATATTTGGGCAGCCCCCTAGCTGTACACCGTCACGGAGTGTGCGACTTCCTCCACGGTTGCTTAAACTTCTCTCATCTGGACAGAGGGACTGCCCACCATCCAAGCATCTGTTTCTGGTTTACTGCATGGAGCCAATATTGCTGTTAGCATTACTTGCATGCCTGGTTCTGAGAACTTACTCCCTTTTGGTGGTTGCCGCTAAATTCACCTGCACACACACAGGATTGCTTCATGTTGGCACTGGGTGCAGCCAAGGAGCCTCTGGCCAGTCTGGCCCTGCAGATGTTCTGCTTCTGGTGTCTGCAGCCGGGTGTCACGTCGGAGAGCTTACACTCTCCAGATGTTCTGTGAGGTGCAACTCCCATAGCCTTGGACCAGTGGCCACGCTGACTGGAACGAACGGGAGCTGTAGCTGCTGTTTCGGAAAAGTCCCCACAGGTGAGCGAATATTTGCAGTTCGTTAACACAACTCGGCCTTGTGGGGCTGGTGAGCGAACGTACAATGGATTCTGCTCTGTTAGCCACTTGCACCACCCTGTTTGATGGGTCTGGACCATCCGATTTGTCCTGAATAACTTGTTTGATCCATTTCAAACATACTAAAAAGAGACTAACACGCAGCACAAACTTGCATGTGGGTCAGGATCTGGGCAGCTCCAGGGCTCCACCTCTTGGCCAGAACCGTAGCAAGCATGCCATGTTTGCAGGATTGGTGCCAAACTGCTAGAGCCCTGAGGAGCACCAACTGGGAGCCTTGGAGGAGCTACAGAAGAGCAAGCACTTCCTTCGAGCAGCCTGTCTCAGCGATGCAGGACGTCTTACCTGTCACATACGCTGACACCTGCATCTTGCCCTACCCAGTTCCTGCCTTGTCAGCCACACCTGTGCTATTCCCGAATGCCACCTAGTTATCCTGCCTTGGGTGCCTGCTCTTTTTGGGGTGTCTTCCTTGTCCTCAATCTCAGCTTGTTTTGATGCGTTCTCCTAGCACCTGACCTCGGCCCGTTCCTTTACTGCAACCCTGCCTCCGGCTTTGCTACTGGACCTTGGGCTGTGTTTGGACTCTGCCCCGCCTCGGGTTCTGTTGCCTGGGTCCCAGTGCATCTCTTTGGACTCCTGCACCCACGCCCAAACCCAGGCAATGTGTACTGGGTTGGGTTCACGGACTCTTCGTCACAGGTAAGTGGTTGTAAAATAACAGCCCTAGTCTGAATTCAGGCTCATTTCTTTCTGTGCAGAAAACAGCCATGGCGCCATGGGAATAAACTTGGGGATTCAATGGTCATGCCATGAACAGCTCCGTACTGGGGAAAAAGCACACTCCTGCCCCTTTGGGTTCTTTTAGAAGGGTTCCTGGGGAAGCATTCTCCAGAAATGGCCTTTGGACATAGAGATGGGTCAAGTAGCTTGATTAATACATGGAAGAAGTATTAATACTGTATTACTAATATTATACCTGGACCCCAAACTCTCCTTGGAGTCTCAGGTGGGCTCCATGGCCAGAAGTCTTTTTCCGGCGGCAACAAATCCAACAGCCACGGCCTAAGACAGTCCTGAGACATCAACTCGTCCAAGAATTTTTATTCCTGTTTTACTGTGTTCTTTCCCATTGTTGCTCTGGTGCTAGACTGGAAGTTATTTTAACTATCTGGAGTTCTCTGGAGGAAAATCGGTATATGTTTCTAACACCCAATAGGATAATGCCCTCATAATTCTACCGTGGCACGATACCCTTATTGTGAACAACACAAAAGGCCAGTCCTAAGGAATGATGCCCCATTCATTTCTAATCAATTTATTCATTCGTTTATCCACGTATTTATATGCCGCCTACAACAGCCAGAATGGCCTCCCAGGGTGGCTCACATAATAAAGAATATTAAAACAGTAAAAAGAATAAAAACATACACTACAAAGAACAATATAAAAAGGTTCATCGGTACAGAAGGCTTAAGTATTAAAAAATCTTCATGCTCAAATTAATGCATGGAAAATACAAAACATTTTATTTCTTTTTATTCTATTTATATGCCGTCCCACTAGCCATAGGCTTTCTGGGCAGCTTAAATCATGATAAAATCCATAGAGTGCATAATAATGCAAAATACAGGGCAGCAAGCTCACAATTACAAGAGACCAATAACAATAAAATCCATAAACAAACGATCAAAATTAAATAAGGTAAGAATAAAAAACAAATAAAATACATATAATACTTCAGGGGCTTTTGGGCTTCAGGGGCTTTTATTATCAGAGTACGAGTGAGAAGTAACTTAACCCTGTAATCACAACAGATGGAATTTAATCTCCCTTCTTCCCCAGAATATCTAAATTCAGAGGTTTATTTTCAAAACACGCAAAGAAAATATCCCGTCTCCAAATGCTTGCCCTCCATGCAGCTGTTGGGGGAATGTTTGCTTTGCAAACAGAGTAGGCACACTTCATCTTCAATCGGGTCATTTCGCTTGAACCCGGGCAAAGAATATTCAGGCATAAGAACTTCCTCACTATTGTCACTTTTTCAAGTTTCTCCAGGGGTGGGAAATATTAGCAGCAAATACTGGGTCTTGTGTGTGCGGTTTGCTGTATCCAATACACTAACGTTGGATTGCTGTGTAAAGTATGCGACTCGGCACTTGTAGGGCACAATCCTGATCTCGTCTACTCGTGGAATGCTCAGAGTCCAGAGGCTTGCGTGCCTCTCCTACATGGTGGAATGTTGTGCTTTGTCCCATCGTCCTGTTCTAGGTGTGGATGCAACCAAATGCCGGGGGCGGGGGGGGGGGGGGAAAACTTGAGACAGGATTTGGGAGGCAGCCGTTGTAGTGCAACGCTTCATCCGGCAGCCTTCTCTTCTCAAGTGCGTGTATCTGAAGATGGGCATTTCAGACACACTGAAAAGTGCTGAGCCCATGCTGCTCAGCACCCTCCCTGAGCTAGCAAAGGTGCTCTCGCCCACTGCACCCTGTGCTGGGTGACTTCAGCGTCCCTGCTGAGGCCGCCTCGTTGGCCCGTGGTCACAGATGCTGTAGTTACATCCCATCTCGACTACTGAAACACGATCCGTGTGAGCTCGCTTAGGAAAACCGCTCAGAAGAGGCAGCCAGACTGTTGATCGGAGCATACAGCCCCATTGCTGCAGCACTTTCATGGGCCACCGCTCTCGATCCTGGCAGAGCTGTAAGTGCTTCAGCCCCTGAAGCCCATAAAGCCCTATAGGGCTTGGGCCCAGGGTGCCTGAAAGACTGCCTTCTTTGAAAGTCTTACCCACTCTTAAGATCCTCTGGAGGGACTCTTCTTTGGAGACCACTGTCTTTGGAGCGCCATCTCATGGCAACCTAAGAAGGGGCTTTTTGGTGGCTTCAAACTCTCTCCCAAGCAAGGGAAGTTTTGCTCCCTTTCTGTTGTCCTTCTGCAAACAGATGAGCTTCACTTCATGCAAGAAGGCCTTTGGCCTGTAAAAGGATATGTTGGGTTGGGTGTGCCTTTAAATTTTTTAAACTCGGTAATTATTACATCCGTATTGCATTTTAACTTAGGGTCTCCTTGTGTTAGCCACGTTTAAATGTGCCTCTGCTACACTTTGGTAGAACGATTAGGCACAATCAACCAAATAAATAATGATCCAGGTTCTCTATGTAGCCGAAAGGGCAAATGTCCCAAGATGGAGACAGCAGCGGAAATGAGGGAAATGCCAAAGTTGGCAGAACTACAAAAGACCCCAGGAAAAAGACCTAAAGGTTGCAGGGGGCAGGGGATACCCCAACGAGGAAGTGAAGCTGCTGAATTATCACAAAATGCTGACCTTTGCTTGGAGAATACGAATACAAATGGAAGAAAAATAGCCTTCTGCAATCTGACACCCTCCAGGTGGGTTGTACTACAATTCCCAACACCCCTGTCCAGGTGTTGGCTGGGGCAGATGGGGGATGCAGTTCAACCCATCTAGCTGGAGTGCTCCCAACAATGCAATTCTATACATGTCTACGCAGAAGAAAGCACCAAGGATGATAACACAGAAGTTCTACTTTAGGGTGCCGTCCAATATAAGTTTAGGCAGAAACAAGAAGTCCTACTACTCCCTAGTTAATTTGGTCTCAGTTGATGGCATGTGATATGTTTAGAAATGTTACTTCTCTTCTTGTTATAACTCTATTACAGGATGAATTTTGAGCAGTGTCAAATCTTTGCTTCACACCGCATAATAATAATATAGTTAAGAACGAGAGAGTTGTGAAAATTATTTGTATCCAGTTCACAGTTTCTAAAAGCAGAGGAATTTCTGGACCAGGGTAAATTGTATTTTCACCCTACATGCCAGTTCTAATCGGAAAACAGAATATTTTTATTTCCCAGCCTGTTCCAAAAGATAATAAAGAATCCGCATTACAGAGGCTCACAATGTAAACCCCCACAAAACTGCTTATTTTTAAGTACACACCAAGCCAGAATGAGTCATGATCTTAATAACCCCCATATCCCCAGAGAAACCAAAGAGTCACGAAGAGTTTATGATTATAAGAATCTGATGCTCAGCTGAATCAGTTCATAAACTTTGGACCTCAAAAGTGGAAACCATTTCAATTAGCCTATTTTTTCAAAGGAGAAGACAGAAACAGATTAGAAGTCTTACATTCACAACACATGCTGAATAGAGTTACACCCCAAGAAAATATTAAAAGCTCTGACAAGGAGCATGGTGGGGATGCAGAAATATTGCTGATGGTGCTGCATCTTGTCTGTGGAATGTTTTAAATAAGCAAAGCTGAGCAGAGTGGACATTATCCAGATGACAGGTCCTTCCCTACAAGAGAAGAAAAGGGTGGTCTTCTCTGCAGCCCTGGATGAATGATTTAAGATGCTCCCCGTATTAGCATCTACCTCTTCACAGTTCTCTTTATCCTCTTCATTGGTGTAGCTTCTGGCTCATAGATCATCTGTCCCAGGTCCCAATGCATATACAACAGGTGAGTATACACACACGGTAGGTATCAGACCCATTCAATGGCCACACCCTTGTGTTGCTTTAGTTCTACATGCTGTGTTGTGTTTTTTAAAGGTGGAAATGCTGATGCGTGTGTCAGCTGTGCGGGTTGACTGAGGAGGTGGTGGTGTTCGTTTGCACAAGCGGTGCCCCCCAGGAACACAAGGACAGCTTTCATGCTGGTCACCCACGTCTCTGTTACCAGTGCATGGGTACAGTTTGGGCCCCGTAAGCAAGAGGCCTGGCTGGTGTTGACACCTGGGCCAGTATGAGCGAGCTAGGGCTGAAACGGCTTGCCGTAACATCCCATCTTTCTTATTATAAAAACACCATTCTTGAACTCCCTGCCAGCCCCCCTGCGGCTTGCATGGACCTGCACTGCCATTTTGATGCCCATTCTCCCAGTTATTCTAGAGCGCCTCACAATCCCCTTTTAACTACCTAAATAATTCGGCATCATTGGCAAGCTTGGCCATTTCGCCGCTTGCTCCTAATTTGAGATCATTTATCAGAAAGTTGAAAAACACGGTTGCAATATAAATCCCTCAGGGTATTCCATGACTGCTATGGCTGCTCAGGATTTCTTGACGAAGTACTCAGCCAAAAGCCTTTTGGAAGTCCAAGAAAATAATGCCTACTGGATCAGTCCCCCAGTTGTCACAGCTTGAATGGATTATTCCGTGTCCTACGCTCTGGCATCAGCAAGAAGAGATCTTGACCTTCCTCTTTGTTGACAGCCCTGGAGGCTGTCATTAATAGAAATGTTGAAGAACACTGGGCCCCAATTGAACCCTCTAGTACACCCCCCCCTTGTTACCTCTCCCCAGTCATTGATGAGCACTCTTTTGAGTCAGATCCTGTAGCCAACTGGGGGTCCACCTCAGTGGTCCCTCTAGCCCACTTCTAGCTAGCCAGGATATCATGCAGCGCTCTGTCAAAAGGTTTGCTACAGTCCAGCTATAATACGTCCGCAGCATTCCCACGGTCCATCCGAGAGGTTCCCTGATCCAAATCCATTGCAAGGCCCATGTGGAGTGGCCCCACTGACAAGGATTGGTCTTCAGGTGAGAAAAGCCCAGCCAGCATTGTTGGGTAGCACAGACATTAATTAACGAAAGGCACAATTGTGTGGGGGGAAAGGGTCTGCAAAGCCATGCTGGGAGTCGAAGTTTTTTCCCCCTAAATATGCATAGCTTTGCACATTGAGCTAGTCATGGCGAATTGAAATTCAGGCATTTCAATAGGTCTACTCTACGTAGAGCTTCTGTTGGAACTTGGCGCCATGTTTGCAAAAACTCGCCCTGGAAATTGCCTGTAACCCCATCTGCTGCGAGGGAGTTAATCTATTTTTAAATCACTATCCTTACCTGCCCTTGCTAAATATTTTACTGCAGTATTTATTATCATGAGTGTCTGGAAAAGACCGTCCTTCTCCGCGCAGCACCGGAAAATAAAGCAAAATACACCCGAGAAAAGAAGCCGCCGCCTGGAGCGGCCGCGGGCACGGCGCATGCGCCTTCCCGCTCGGCGAAGCCGGGGCGAGCGAGTGGGCGTGGCCTCGGCGCCTTCGCCCCGCCCCTCCTCCACCGCCCCGCCCGAGTGGCAGGGCTGCTCCGGTAGCGGAAGTGCGCTTCCCGAGGGCGAAGGAGCCACTTCCGGGCGCTGCTGGCTGAGGGGGTGGGGGGAAGCAGCGGCGGCGGCGTCGGCCGGGGGGACGGTGGCACTCGGGCCCGGGCCGAGCTCCCTCCGGCGGACCCGCCATGTGAGCGGACCCCGACGCCCCCTCGGGTAAGGCGAGGCGAGGGAGGGGCGGGCGCCGGCCGAGAGGTCCGGGGGAGGAGCGGGCTGGGGGCTCCCGTGGCCGCGCCGGGCGAGGGGCGTCTGCGGCGGCGGCGCCCCCTCCAGCAGCACAGCGCGGCGCGCCTCCGCGCCGTCTCTCGCCCGCCGCGACGTCTCGTCTCGGGCAAGCGCCTGGGGAGCAGCCGGGCTCGTGCCTCGCGGGAGCGCCTCTCCCCGCGTCCCTGCCGCCGTCCCTGCTTTCCCGTGAGCGCCTCGAAGTTGCCCCGCATGCCCGGGCTGGCTGCGTGTGTGCGGTTGCGTGTGCATGCGCGCGGAGCCCTGCAGAGCAGGGCAGCCTCCGGCGTGGGGGTTGCGGAGCTCCCGGTGGATTTCGTGGCTGAGGGGGAATTTGACCCGCGTGTGGGCGGGGGCGGGGGCGGGTCCTCTCTTCCCTCTTAGCCTGACAGTCCAGCCGCGGCACTTTATGGGCTGCCCGAACAGGGTGTTGTTTGCTTGGTAGCCTCTCCTGAAGGTTGGTCCTTCGGTAGTGAAGGGCTGCCGCTTGCACCGTCCCCAGAGCAGCAGTCAGGGTGATGGGAGGTCACGGTGAAGCAATAGTTCTCTGCCCAGTTGCTGAGGAACTTGGGTAGGAGAGGCCTGCTGCACTCATGTTCTGCGTCTGGGATGCTGTGGGCAGGTTAGCTGCTGTGTGCGCAGAATGCTGGGCTAGACCGACCAATCTTCATGGGACCCGAAGTGGGGGAAATGGTAGTTACAGTTGCTTTGGGCTTCCTTAAGGGAGAGGCAGTAGATGGAATAGTTTGATGGAAACTCTTGGCTATTAGGTGATACAGAAATTAATGAGTGATGTAAGCAGCACCTTCAGGATATATTTGTGGGGCTTGATAAGCCCCCTGCTGTAATGGGGGCCTCTTCCCCAAGATCTTGCAGGATACATTTAGGAACTGGAAAAAACTGGCGGAGAGGAGTGAAGTGAGGGTAAAATGAGGCAGACTTTACAGTTGCAACATTATAAGACTTGCCCCCTTGGGGAAGCTTAAGGCAGAGTGGGTTTTGAGAAGGCATGACAGCAGTTGGCACTATGCAGTTGATTTAAAAGGGACTCAAGACCAGGGATTTCTTTCTCCTAACCTGGAAGCTATTGCGGATATTGCAAATCCGGAGGAGTAGATTGCCTGTCGTTACTCACTGATGCAGAACAAGTGCCCATGGCTTCTCTTCGCACTCTTATTTTCATCATATACCTACCAGAATTTAATATCAGATCTTTTATTTCAAAACAGTCAGTTCTGTATCTTACCTAATTAAAGCCTGCCTGTGGAGTGAGCTGCTTCAGTCACAATTCTCACCTTGTACTTCCAGGAGAATCTAAATGAGTTGGGCTTTAGTATGGTACAACATTATGGTAAGGTCCTTGGGGTCTGGGGTGTGTGATTTATGTCTCTCTCCACCTCCAGTTGTGAAGCAGGGGAGAGGTATGTGACCTCAAAGTATTCAGTGCTGTGTTAAGGAGACTCTTATTCGATGCAAGCAGCTGGTGCTGTATGCATATTAGAAAGGGATGGTGATACTGGGGCGATTTTCATTTCATGAGGATCCCTCTTTTCCCCAAATGGAGAGCATCACCATCGTTCAGTGGTAAAGCAGATAGCTTGCTCACATATTCAGTTCCAGTTAAAGGATCTTAGGTAGCAGCATTTTGCATGGTTTGCACAGTGACCTGGTTTGGTATAAGGTAGCTTCATATTCCATAAGGAGTAAGCATTCTAACTTGGTGGAGGAAGGCAAAGCCCAGTGGGTATCATGCTCTGTAGCCTCATGGAAGAACCGAATCCTGCACAAGACTGAAAGGGCTCACTTTGCTCCCCTTGCTGGCACATAGCTAGTGCACAGTTGTGCTTTTTTCTGTGAGTAACTGCTCAAAGAACGGTGTCCTGTTGCTTTAGAGTTTCTGCAAGTTAAATGCACAGCTATGCCTACTTAGTTTTATTTATATGTATATATAACTTTCTCCCTGTTAATGTAGAAATATGGGTTGTTGCAGACACGTTGGAGTAAATCCCTGGACAGAGCCATGAGCAAATGAGTCTGGAAGGTAGCTGGTAACAGTGCAATTAATTGTTCTCCCATCGCTACTGACCTTGGATGTACCTACTGAGATCTTGCTTATGCTGAATCCATACCTGCATCTTGTTCTACTCCTGCTAAAACATATACCCTATAATTTCATTTTGTGTACTTAGTATAATTTTAGTTGGTAAAGTGGGAAGGATGTTGAATTTAAAAAATCCTGTTATAAATAGCACATCTTTGAGTATAAGTCTCTTGGTTGTTTTCATGAAGTGCCTTTAAGACTACATTCCTCACTTTTATGGAAACCAAAAGTTTCCAGTGCTTGCTTTTTGAGTATATGGTTTACAGTATTTTCTGTTAGCCAAATATTTATAGCTCACTTTTCTCAGATGCAGACCATCATGATCCACCACAGAATTGGTGCATCACATGGGGTGGGGGGAGCAGGTAGAACTGTGCAGTTGATTCTGTTTGATTTTTTTTTTTCTGCAGCGAAGAAACAAAATGCTTTTAAAACTGGTCACCCCTTGGCATTGGTAGATTTCATTCTTCCTATTCTGTATATATCCTTTCCATTCATGGCAGAGTTTATGCAAGTAATTCTATAAAAAGGTCATTTGCTGTCCTATCTTGGTTAGTCATTTATGCTAAGTATTTATGATAGCCTAAAAGTGGGGAGGAGGGGAGGAAAGATTAGTTGCAAATTAGCCAAGCATCCCTTTGCTTTACTCATCTGGAGGTTATTTGTTTTTGGCAGAAATGATGAGACAGGTGCCTATTTACTATTTGTTTATGATCTCACCCTGCATGACAGGGCTGTGAGCTTAGTTCTGGTAGTGAAAACAAATTTCCGGGATTAGCATATGCTTAGAGGTACCCTCTTCTTAATTCTAAGAATATGCCCCTCCCTCCTCCTCTCCTGCTGCTGGTTATGTTTTGCACCTAGCTCCAATTAGTGGAACTTGGAGTTCTAGTTCTTTTTGCACAGAGCTCTTAGCATGCAGGAGCGTAATCTGTGTGGAGAGGAAGGTCTTTTGCCACTCTTCCACTGAGCTCTTCTAGATGCTAGAATGAATTTTCAGGAAGTAAAGGCTGCTGCAGTTTAAGTGAGAAACTGGAAAGCGCTAGCACTTGAACTTTTATGTAAATATTCATAGCTCACCCATAGAACATGTACTTTGGAACAGATAACCTGGTGCCCTCCAGATTTTTTTGACTACAGTTCCCATTATCTCTTACCATCGGCCATACTGTCTGGGGCTTATAGTAATTACAGTCCAAAACAGCTAGAGGCCAGCAGGTTATATACTCCTGATTTAAAAGTTTGAATGGTCAACTCCGGGCATCTTCATTTAAAAGTATTTTGGGTGGCATGACTAGGAGAGACATAACTCTGTATAAGTCAGTATTATAGAGTCAGTCAATCATAGAATAAAAAGTATACAGCAAGAAACAGAACTATAATATTCACATTTTGTTCTTTACGTAAAGAAGCCACTTGTGGCTGCCTGTAACCAGATAAGAAGCCTCATCACTTTAAGCAGTAGTTCAGTTTGATTCGAAGGGTGAGTTAGATTTGAAGCAATATTCTTCTTGTCTCCCAGCTTTCCTTACAAAAGGGAAGAGTGACCTGTGGTGGTAGTTCAGCACATTCAAATGGTTAATTTGAGTCAAAGGATCTGGAGTAAGTCTTGCGAAGTGAGAGTATGTTGTAATATTATTAATGTAGCCGCCTGCTCTGTTTCAGCCAGGGAGATGGGTGGGAGTTTCCTTGACAGATTGAGAACAGTGTACTGGTTAGGCAGTGTGCGCCTCACATATCCTCTAGTGGGAGCCTTGCACAAAGCCAGATGTGCATTTTTGTCTGCTCTCTCAAGCCACGAGCTAATGCAATTATGGCCTGATTGATCAGGCATCGCAGAAATATGATGGAGTATCTAACCCAGCATGGAATATCTGGCTTCATTTTGAATATGTAACCCACCCACCCACCCCCGATCAGGGGCTGCAGTGTGTCATGCAAACCTAGCCATCATGGGTTATTTCTCCACTTTCTCTGAGGTGGCGCCCAATCTATGGAATGCGCTCCCCAGAGAGGTCCGCCTGGCGCCGTCGTTATTTGTTTTTCTGCGCCAGGCCAAGACTTTTTTATTTAAATGTTATTTTAATTGTTAAGGTTCATTTGTTGATTTTAAACCAGGCTGTTTCCACTATTTTATATATTTCATTTATTCTATGAATTTTTTTGTATTTATATGTGGGATTTTAATGATTGTAAGCTGCCCCAATGCTTATGCGATGGGGGCGGCATATAAGCTGTCTAAATAAATAAATATTTCAGGGTTGAATAATCCTAGCATAACCTTCAGTGCATAGCAGGGTTATGCAAAGGCTGTTTAACCCTAAAATAATGCTCAGGTGTGCATGATGCTCTGCAGCCCCATCTCACCTGACCAGGGACAGCATATTCAAAGTGGAAAATGCATAACCTGCAGCTCATGGTTTCATTTAGCCACCGTGTTGTGCAAAGCAGCCCGCTATGTTGCATGCGACGATCTTTGGATCTGATAGATACTCTATCCCAGATACGCAGCAAAGCCATGTTTTCTATAAAACAACCTCCATTAGAGAGGGCTTCCATGCCCACAGAATGCTTCCCGACTAGGTGGAGAAGGGCAAGTGGAATGAACTACCCTAAGGAAGGCTGAGTGACGAAGGATTGAGGCCTTTGGATTGTGGAGCTGGCGGAGACCCCTGCGAGTCCCTTGGACCGCAAGGCGATCAAACCGGTCAGTCCGAGAGGAGATCAACCCTGACTGCTCTTGAGAAGGCCAGATCCTGAAGATGAAACATACTTTGGCCACCTAATGAGAAGGAAGGACTCCCTGGAGAAGAGCCTAATGCTGGGAACAATT